CTCCATTGACGGTGATTGGGGCGTGCACTTTCTCCTGCTTCCTAAAGTCCACTATCAGCTCCTTGGTCTTGTTGACATTAAGAGAGAGGTTGTTCTCCTGGCACCAGTGTGTCAGGATATCTCATTGTTGTTGGAGATCAGGCCCACAGCCGTTGTGTCATCGGCAAATTTTACAGGGAGTACAAGAGAGGGCTGAGCACACAACCTCGAGGGGCTCCGCTGTTAAGAGGGGTCAGTGAGGGAAAGGTGATGCTGCCCATCCTTACCACCTGGCATTTCCCCGTCAGGAAGTTCAGGATCCAGCTGCACAAAGAACTGCTGAGACCCAGATCCCGAAACTTAATGTCGAGCCTTGAGGGGACGATAGTATTGAATGCTGAGCTAAAATCCACAAACAGCATTCTCACATATGTATTTTTTTTGTCCAAATGGGAGAGGGTAGTGTATAGAGTCAGAGCTATTGCATCATCAGTGAATCTGTTCTGTCGGTAGACAAAGTGCAGTGGGTCTAAGGTGACAGGTAGTGAGGAACACATGAAGTCTCTAACCAGCTTCTCAAAGCACTTGCTTATGATAGTGGTCAGAGCAACCAGGTGCCAGTCATTTAAGGTGATAACACTGGCTGACTTTGCAACTGGGATGACAGAGGCCAGTTTGAAGCGAGCTGGCACTGAGAGAGATAGAGAGGTTGAAGAACACTCCTGCCAGCTGGTGTTTCACATGATTTAAGGACGCGTCCAGGAATGCCGTCAGGTCCGGCCACCTTGCGGGTGTTAACGCACACGAAGGTTCTTGCCGGTAGTGGGGGACTCTTTCAGGGTGCGCACCACTGGTATTTTCCACTGAGCGAGTTTTCCACTTAAATTATGTTATTGTGTTTAACCCCTGCCACAGGTTTCTCACGCTGGTGGTGTTGAACTGTGATTCCACCTTACCTCTGTACTCTGCTCTTATGGTCTTGCTGGAGGTGGGTGGGAGCAAGCTGGAGGAGTGATCTGATCTGCCAAACGGAGGTCGGGGGAGGGCTTTGTAAACATCATGGAAGGGAGTGTAGCAGTGATCCAATATATGTAATTTTGGTGTGCTGCATGAGATGTGTTGTAAGTACTTTGGAGCAACTTCCCTAAAGTTTACTTTATTTGGAATTTCCGGTGATAACCAGGTCTCAGTGAGGCAAATTACACAGCACTACTTTGTTTCTTGCTGGAAAGAGATCTGTGTCTGAGGTCGCTGATTTTGTTGTTCAAGGATTATACTTTAGCCAGTAGTATGCTGGGGAGAGGTGGGAGGTTAGCACCCCGACCTCTCCTGCCCCTCTTATGGTGTCTGTGATGTTTTCTCGACCAGGCAGCACAAATAAATGAGGCCTCTTCTGTGTTCCCAAACAGTGTATCTGTGTTGAGAAAGTCTGGTTTTCGGTGAGTGATCATCGATCAGATTTCCAGAAGTGTTTGTCCATCATAAACAAAGGTGCTGCCAACTTTTAGTGCAAAAAGAATTACATATAAACACACAACAAAAAAAAACTAAAAAGAGTGAAGGGAGCTCACAACATGGCAGCTGTACTTGGCACCATCTTGACTTCCTGTGGTCCGATAAATCAAACTTTGAAATTGTTTTTGGAAATCATGGATGCCATGTCCTCCTGGCTAAAGAGGAGAGGGACCATCTGGCTTGTAATCAGCACATAGTTCAAAAGTCAGCATCCGTGATGGTATGGGGGTGCATTAGTGCACATGGCATGGGTGACTTGCACATTTGTGAAGGCAACATTAATGCTAAACAATATATACAGTATATATAAAATATATTGGAGTAACATATGCTGCCATCCAGATGACATCTTTTTCAGGGAAGGCCTTGCAAAGTTCAGCAAGACCATACCAAACCACATTCTGCACATATTACAGCAGCATAGCTCTACAGTAAAGGAGTCCATGTGCTAAACTGGAGCGGAGTAAAGGGGTGCTGGGGAGTGTCTGAAAAGCCTGGAAGGAGGTCCACGTAAACATAACCAAGGATTCCGTCCTGGAGCTCAAAGCTCAAATGTTTTTTTTGAGGTTTGTGATACACTTGAACTATTTTCCATAATGTTCTACGTATATGCCAGGTTATTTGTAATATTAAGCCAGTAAATATATTAACTTTGCAGGGAATTAAATTAAAGTGTAACAACACAGAAAAATAACACTGTGGAAAAGGTTTCAAGTATATACAGCATTTCAATTACTGTGCCCATGCCTGGACTCATGCATATAAAAAAGGCTTCAGTCTTAGAATGGCAATGCTTGCCACTAACTGTTAATTACTGAAATATACTGTAACAGGAAAGAGATTCTAACACAGTTCTGAGGCAACATGTTTATCTGTGTACTTCTTTCACCTATGTCAACCTGTTGAGGTTCAGTTGGGACCAAAATAGCCTTTGAAATGGAGGCCTCCCCAAGATGGACCAACACACTAAAAAAGTCAATACAAAAATCAATAGCTCTGCACAAAATGAAAACTGTATACACACGAAAGGGAAATGGGAGCACAACCTATGACTCCTCACACATTCTGGCTGCAACCATCAAAGCCTTCAAGCTTCTGGCTACACATACAGGTCTCTCTCGCTGAAGGCTACAAGTGTTTTGTTCATCTCCACCTGGACCATGAATTCTTGGATTGGCAGAAAAGCAAGTATTTATTTCATGTACCAAGCTGTTCTTATATATCTGTGCTTTGAAGCTGTGCTATGTATTTCTTATCCACTGGTTTGTCAACAGCTCTACCGGTATTAGCATCATTTGCGAATACAGAACATCTGCAAGAAAAATAATATTTATTTCGATTTGAATTTGAAAGCGATTAAGTTGAGTCACAATTGCAGATAAAAGCCTGAGGCACAAGACGTCATATCTGCAATGCACAAAGACTTTTTAACAGTTTCATATTATTTTCCACTATTTTCCCCCAATATTTGATCAGTCAGTTCCCAATACAGTAGTAAATTAATCAATACCACAACCAGTCTAGGAGGGTGAAATTCAGTACATACACTCTTTGATGCATCTGAAGCCTACCACCAAGACAAGCAGCAATGCTGTGGGCTTCAACAAGCTCAAAGAGAAATATTCTCTATCATCTTTCCATTAATTGTGAATAACCAATTGTAATCAGATGCTACACATGTTGTAAAAACATGTGCAAAGCTAGGACTCGAACCTAAATCCTAGGTGTAATCAACTCAATCAACCCTCAACTCACATCATGGCAATAATGTATAACAGAATTATGTGTGTTCCATCTGAAAGGGACATAAATAGCTGACTGGAAAGCAGTTTGGAGGCTTTCCAAAGCCATCTACAGACAGTCATTTCGAAAACTTATGTGCCGAGTAACTGCTATATGTAATGACACACAATGGTACTGCGCTTTCATTTTTTCTCATTTGCTTGCCCATTTGTCTTGCACTATACAAACATGGATTTGCACTGCAAGTCCTATTTAACCATCACTGCTCAACCTTTGTCACAGGTTGTAAATGGCTTGCTTCATGGAAGTATGCCATCATTTAACAAAAGGGGAAAAAATACACCCTAACTGAAAAACAAACAGTGAAAAAGCTGGATGAATCTGAAGCTCATTCAAGACAAAACGGTGACTGCAGGTTACCTAATCTCAGACTTTATCATATAATAAAAGCACAAGAAATTTTTGATAAATTTTGATAGGAATGTACTGAATGTATTCAATACTGTGGAAACAAAGTGTAGAATTTTGTAACAAATCCATTGCCTGGTGAGGGCAAAGCTCAAAGTAGGGGGCGATGGTGCACTCCTCAACATTGTCTGATGGCCATCAAGACTGTCATTAGCTCATGGATGTACCCCAAGACAGCATGGCTGCAAAGTCCCCTAGAAAACGTCCAACAGGCTCTTTTCACGCTCATATAAGGCATGTAGATGTGTGCCAAAGACACATTACATGCTGTAAATATAAACGTTACCTCTTGCAAGGGAAAAAACGTTATCATTCTGTTAACTAATGACAGTGTATTGCCAGCTAGCTTGTTCTGCTTGTTTTATTAATTGTACTTCAAGGAATTTGGGGGTGGGTTTTAGAGCACTACAATCCATGGCCAGCATGACTGGAGCATGTATTAGTTACAAAGCCCTGAAAATAATGTTTACATTCAAGTCTTTTTAAGCTACTCTACCAAATTGTGAGCCAACATAGTACTTTAACTGACTATAACAAACAATTAAATTTATTATGTCTTAGTTACAAAGCGCATTGCTTTGATGGGAGGGCTCCATATGTGAAAGATACATCATCATTACTGATATATGAGGCTGGTGGTGAAATGACTTTCGTATTGAGAGAAGGGGAATGAAGCAGGGCAGAGGGAGAGGTTATGCGCCTCGGCTCTTTCAATTTTTTTCCAGAGTTAGCACTTCCATTACCGGAAACAAAAAGCCCTAGCAGAGCCACAGGGGCTTGATATGAACTTCAAACATCAGTACCTGGGTGAGCTACAGACGGGAGGTGAAAGGAAGGCTGAATGGATGAATCAATTAATGATTAGAGGAATGAGGAAAGAAAATGAAATGATGTATTTAACCAGAGCGAGTGTATGAGTAAATCGCTTGGTAGGTAGTTGAGAAAGAGAATGAGTGAGTGAATAAGTAATTGAATAAACACTGGAAACACTAACAACACGTGCAGGACCACAAGACTACCCCGATCTCTACAGCCGACTGAATGACCATTCGATCTGTGCAGCTTTGAAGGTGAAGGCTAACTTTAGCTGGTTTTACAAGGTGTATTAATACTTGCAAAGGTTCTCAGATGCTGAAGTGACCCTTTAATGAGCCTTTGCACAAAACATTGCAACAGAGCAGCGGGAAGTCGCTTGTCAGCCATAAAGCTGCCATATTATAGCTTGTTATTTCAGTTAGAGGGGAGAAGGGTTCAGGCACTAAGGGGTAAGGTTCTAGTGATTTGAGATACTTTACCTGTATCACGTCTGGCTTCTAGCAGATGAAAACAAAGCACAAAACCAGCCAAAGTCAGTGCAAAACCTACATGAGAAAATCAGCTGATGCATGAATTTTCTGTTATGGCTATATACAAAACTGAGCAAAAGTCAGAGACCACGCTACATTTATTTAATTCCCAAGTCATTTGTTTTTGTCTGTGGAAAAGCAAAAAAAAAATACTTAAAAGACCCAATTACAAAATTATAAATTTCTTTTGTAAGACGATAATCCTATATGCAATCTCCTCAGAAACATGTGCTGAAAAATGAATAACCTGCACTTAATGGCCATTTTGTAAATTAAATAAATGAAGGGTGGTCTCTGACTTTTGCACAGTACTGTAAACTATTTTAGAGTTAATCTGGAGTACGGTGGCACTATTCATTAAAACCATTAAATATGACAATCAATTCCCTTAACCAAAACAACTCAAACACTCAGCCAGCAGAGGTCTCTATTACATAAAAAACATGGCAGCAGCTTACAATGGATATTCAGAAGAGGTTCAGCCTTCTATATAACCAGCAAGACTGCACTGTCACTGATAAGGTGTCTCCTCACAGTGACAAGCATCAGTATTTCCTCTTGAGTACTGCACTCAAATATTCTGGGCTTAAATGAAACAGTAAATATACAAAGACTCAGAAGTTGAGGGGTCATGGCTTTCATGGATAACGACAACGTATGGACTTCTGCATGGCGGGTAATGCACAGACATGCTGCTCTACACTGCTGATCTAACACTGTTTGTCACAGTGATGTAGCAGCACTTCTTGCAATATTTGTTCCCTTTTATATGTGAAAAATCATTTTACTGAGTTTTGACAGGAGGGCAATTTATAGGTGCACTTGCCATCTGCGGTCCAAACATCTGCCCCACTGTGGGAAGCATGATGCTTTGAATCATTATTTTCATGATATCCCTCGACTCTGAACTATCTATCACATTTGCTCGCACACTGCATGCCCAGAAAATGCAGAAAATGTTTGTCATTTGCGCTTTATAGCTTTATTTGGAGGGTAAAAACAATGCCTTGATGCCAAGCGGTCATGCATATGCCAAAACAATTAAAGTGATGTTTTTTCTGTGGGTGGAGTAGAAAGACTCACAGCTGCCTGTGAATCATCATCAAGTTTTTTTTTTGCTTTTTTAGGTCACTGCAGTGTGAAGCAACACTAGTGTCGACTGTAGCAATCACCATCAAAAAAAAAAGCCCATAAAAGTTGGCACCACGCTGACCAGATTTTATATATTAAAAATATATATATATGACAAAGAAATGACTGCAGAAAGTGAAATGAAATGTCTGATTGATGAAAGTCTGATCAAAGCAGGCGATTGCTTCAATGAAGATCTTGCAATTTTCAGAACTTGTTGACTACAATGTGAAATAAACTGTGGTCATGTCATGTCTTAATCATGCTAGCTATTTTGCTACTCACCACTATAGCGGATGATCCTTTCAGCCGAGTCGCCCTCTCCAAAACGGGTGATGGGGGTTAGGCGCACCTGATAGGCCTCAGGTTTGACCAGCTCTGTCAAGTTGTAGGTGAGGAGCTCCCCCTTCTGGATGGTGCCTTCCATCGTGATCTCCTGTTCCCACCATCTCTGCTGCCCTGTCTGAGAAAGAAAAATATTTCAAAGCTCCTTTTAAGGAATTTCAGTTGTATAAATCTGAGATTGCACATTACAGACTCAGACCAGAATTCTACCCAGTAATTTCTGGTACACAGTCCAACCTCGAACTGTCAAAAAATTAATGTGAGTGCAGCCTCACTGAAATAATTATGTGCTTGGCCAGAGACACAGCTTGGTAAAACTTACTAAAATTACACAGTGGAAGAACTTCAGATAACATAAATAGTTCAGAGACTCCATGAAGAATGAATTCAGCTATTCTGATTTATATTTCTTTTTAATAAAAAACATTCACATGATTTATTTCTTTAAACTCAATGGACCATATTCATGAAGCTTCTCGGGTTAGAAGTGCTGATCTAGCATCTGTTCCAGTCAGTAAGGTCATAGTAAATAAAACAGGAATCTGCTCCAAAACTAGCACTCCTATTCTGAGAAGCTTTGTGAATATGGGCCATTGAGTGAAATTAGTTTGAGCTCTTAAAACTATATGCGAGCCAAGTTCTGAAATCCCTATGGACAGTTACTCTAGACAACTTGCAGTGATAGCTATTAAAATTGCTTCTTTCAGTCTTCTAGTTGACAGTTGAATAATGCCAACATGGTAGTACTTGGCCTTGCAACAAGTTTTTCAGGACCAAAAAGTCAAATATTCATTTCCTATTATTAAGCTCATCAATGCACTATTGCTTCAAAGAACACTGAACAATGAACCAAACAGTTCATTCTGGCATTCCTAATGTTTTGACTAAGTCTGCAGTTTATTTGTTCAGATTTCCATCATCTTGTGCATGAACTAACAACATAATGACACAACTGACCGGCAACTGAGCAGCCAACTGCCCAATTACTTTTGGGCTCCAAAAATGGCAGCAATCTGTACAAAAAGGGTAGCAAATCCTAGAGAGTTCACTCATTATGGACCCAGTATGGAGGGTGCATACCCTCATATTAAAGCTGGCAGCCTGTACTACAACATCACTGTTAACCAAGCCACTGTTTCATTTCCAAATCCAATATGGAAGAGTACAAAGCCAAAGCAACAAAAAATGTCACTTCTGAACTGGACTTACATTACTGTGACAGCATAAATAAACACACTGTTTGAGTGTTCATAAGCAGTAAGACAAAATACATCAGTTCCTAGGTAATTTCAACAAATTTGAGTTCAACAGAGGTCGGTTTAATTTTTTCTACAGCTATTCTCATCAAGTTAAAGCTTTATTATACTGTTTACAAACATACCATTCACCTCATTAGTCTTAAAACACATACTTTTACTACACCAATTTTGATTTATAGTTGTATTGCTCATTCAGTTTGAAACGAAAACAAAGCCAATTTCATTCAGGCAGCTATTTAGAGAATTTATGTTATTCATCTGCATCCATCATTATCAAACCTAGCTAGTTAGAACCTCTTGCACTGCTTATTTAAATGCATCTAAACAAATGTGTATTTTTAGTAGATTTAAAGGTAACTGTTGATATAAAAGATTTGAATAATTTTGTTTGAACAATGCTGAACATTGCTATGCGTGGCACATTCAAGACATCTCAAATTCACTTAATATTATCCTAATTCCAAGTTGAAAGTCATTCTTAATTTTCCGCAGCATTACAGAATTGTCAAAAAGTTAGCTACCACTGGTTGCATGAATCTGCTAAATATTTGCACAGAACATGAAAAAATAATGTGCAACTTATAACAAATCATTTGAGTATTGAAACAGAATATTTATCTGTTCTGTAAATGCTTTTCATCACTTTTGCTTAACTTAAAATGTTTTATTTACTCCAACTTTATCAATTATTGTCAAACTGCATGCATAAATCTAAACACAATGGCACCACATGAAAAGTATCTATTATAAGCACATGTTAAAGTGTCTGGCATATAGAAACTAGCACACGTGCTTAATTTCTTTATGCAAACACCCACACGCAGACCAGAGGTGAGTTTCACCAACAAAGCAGCCGATTACCGAATAAAGCACACCAGCGAAGTAACAATTACCAAATTAGCAAAGACACTGAACAGGCAAAAATACGCATTATTGAGTTTATAGTAAGATGTGTGAGGTGGCAGATTGATTTTGACAGTGATTTAGCTCCTTGACCTCTCAATTAACTTTTTAAATTTGAGGAGACTGAGTTAAATCAGTTCAATATAAGCCAATTCTTTCTTCCAACTACAGCTTAAAGCATTTTGGTTTTGGTTGATGCCTTTTATAACCAGCATGGCAGACGAGAGGCCATATCTAATTAAAATCCAGCACCAACAATTCCATCCTGGATTTCTCCAAGGACCCGGAGTGAATAAACAGCCTGGCAGTAAACAAACCATAATCGCTTGATAATCACAGGCGGAGACTTTGAATGCAACTGAATAAAGCTGTTTGCAGCCACTGGTGTCCGAGAAAGGAAAGGATATTGCACTGCAGACATATTTCTGTGCCATTTAGAAACTTAAATAACAATTACAAAGTCTTTACGTTTCAATATTACATTTAATGTTCCAAACATTTAGTGATGATGACAATCACAATTCACTATAATGAAAGAACAGCAGATATTCTTATTTCAAATAAACAGGCAGTAAAATGAAAGTGAATGCATACAGTGAATTTCTGGCCACCACAGACACAGTTGGGTGATTCAAACATGCATTAGATTAATTGTGAACATGAGCTTAGCTCATAACGTTGCCATGCGACAATTAGGCGAGCTGTAAATACACAATGTTGGGAAAACAGTGTTCCTGTAATGGCTGTTGATCTTGGCCACACAGATTTTACCCAGCAGGCTTTGCTGAGTGGCAGGCTTACATAGACTCCCATGGCAGTTGGACAAGCAACTGTGGAGTCAAATAAAAGATGAGCGCCCAAGTCAGTAAAGAGAGGGAGAGAAAGAAAGTGAGGGAGCAGTGGCTCAGAGGAGTTGCCAGTGTTTCCATCAGGGCTTTACTCATGTCTGGTAACGAGATTTCCATCTCGAGATCCAATTACTCTTTATTGCTTCTGTGCGATTTCTAATTCCATGCCTACAGATCTTACAGTGATTCAAGGCATCGGTGAATGGGCTGGGGTAGAGACACGATGGAATTCTCTCCCTCTAAAACACTTCTGAAACAAAATACCGTAGTAATCATGCAACAACTTTTCAAAAGGCCTTCATAAAAAAGGGGTAAGCCATACCAAAAGCTAATAGAGCTTTTAGCAGCATTTGATCTTACCTGTGAAAAGATGCTAAGCCAAAAACTCAATTAACCCCACCTGTCCAAGATGACAGAATCTTATTTCCATAATCCAAGCAAATCACTGTTAACGTTTCCCAGATGAATAGTGAAGCACCTGAACTCAAGAATGTTTTATATCGACACAAAACCATCTCGAGTGGAGCACCCTCCAGTACCCTGTTTGGATCCTATGTCATTAAAGAACTGCAAACACATCTGCTTATTCATGTAGCTCACAGACCCACTGCTTCTTTCGAGACAACACTCAAATCTTAACACATCCTTGAGCAAGACACTACAGCTTTATGACTGCAAGAGCAAAGCACAGATCTTGAACTATATGAGTGAACAGAATGGAACAGCAAGGAAGAGGAAACTTAGAGGGACCTTGAGGAACTGACTAGTTATGATTCATAATTAGACTAAAGATCTTAGCATGTATGAAAAACAGCTAACACATAATCAATGACCTAGGCTAACCGACTACCTGTGTGAGGAAAATTCTAGGAGTACAAACTGACTGTTTGCAAACACTCTGTCGTGCCTTCTTTAGTTACTGTTGCTATTGGGGCTACAACAACTAATTGACTTGATTTATTGATAACATCAAATTTATCAATAAAAAATTTAATTTTGTTATCAATTAGTTGGCTTGATGATGTTTGTGCTCCGCATTTACATCAGTTACCTGAGCGAGGCAAAAAAAGTAAAAAGTATGAGAACACTTCACTTAACATCATCTAAAAATGATGATTTCCTGTAAGATCTGTGAAACTGAGCTCAGCTTTAAGGGCAGCACGACTGTCCTAAGGATTCAGAGAAACACATTCACAGCAGAAAATGATAAAAGCTCTGCATGGAAAGTAAACCGCAGCAAAACTGTAGTCAAAAGTTAAAAACAGCATGTCATTGTTTACACTTCAGTGAACTCTGTTTTGATTTTCTAAATGATACTTATTCTTTGCTACTGCAATAATGAACACGAGGCCTGCTAATGCACAAGACCTGCTCGTCCTCATGGATACGGATATTGTTTGAACACATACTTTCTTTCGTTGAGTTTTGGCCTCCTGCCCGCTTGAAAACTGTGTTATAGGTCTCTGACAAACTGAGCTTTTGAATTATGCTCTACAGAGTGGAGATTTTTAAAACTCAAAATCTTTACCCTGTTGTTGAAAACGCTGAATTGTTTGCTTGCTGTTTGACCAGTGATAGCTTTTGCTACTACACGTTAAAGCGGCTGTTTTTTGTGTTGAATGAGGAGAACTCATTAGAGTCAAAGTCAGATGAGCTATTTATTGACAAAACACTACAGCTATTTGATGCAACATTATATGCTGAGGGTCTATTAGCAAACTTTAATGAAAGCTCTGCACGTACATGCGAGTATATTAATATTTATCCTTACTTGGAATTATCTTAATCAAAAATATGAGCACTGTACACTGATGTTTAATGTGACTACAATCAATCTGTCAGCAGCTACATGGGAAAAAGCTAAATAATCTTTATGTTGTTCTATAACGTAATTTATCATTAGACATCATATTAAAATGCGTGTTAGCAAATCTAGCAACCTAGCTCATCTTAGAGCAAACATAGCTGTTGATAGGTTTGACACTGAGCCAAGAGTGTGCTTTCCACATAGTTCAATCTTCCACATAGTTTAAACTTCTTCGGAACTGAAATAAAATACCACCATCCTCCAGCTGACATGGACAGTGTGTGGTGAATTAGATATTCCT